TTTTTTTTTTGTCAATTTTCAGTCCCAATTATTTTATTCTAAGGTCATTCGGTGGTTGCAGAATTTTTTACTCTACAATACATAACTAGGAAAACCAATTGTATTTGTGGATTTATTTGTTTATCTGTATTATTTATTTACTATTATGCATTCGTGGTCATATAGGATACAGCAATAATTTGTTCCCTTCTTTTTTCCTTTTTTTTTTTTTATTTTCTCCGGTTGATTGATTATTGAATTTTTAATGTTTATCGCAACAAAAAGTAGTTGCTGCTTGAGACATTTTGGATACTTAGAAGTGTTGAAAGAGAGAATGAGCAAATGAAGCATCTAAAATAACGGCCACTTCTCGCACTTTATCGACGATGATACTACAAATGGTAATGACAATGGTCTTGAATTGCTTCTAAACATCACGTCTGTTTTTATTTTTATTGTTGCTGTTGTTGTTGTTGTTGTTGATGATGTCTTAGCAATTGCTAATATTTGATTTTGATCAAGCTAATATTATGCTGAAAAATTAGGACCTATTTGGCAAAAATTCTGTCTTTTTTCCTTATCCTTCTTCCCCCCTCCTTGAGCAAATACAAAGATTAAAATGGCATTTTTTTTCTTGCTAGAACATTTTTTCTTTTGGCGCAATTATATTTTACAAGTTAATTTACTCAAATAATCTGTAAAACATGTATAGAGAAATATATGCAAAAAATTTCTTAGTGTCTTTACGGTTAGCTTTGAAATGTTTTTTGTAATTTTATATATTTTCAAATATATACATTGCTACCAATGTTTAGGTATTCTAGTGGAATAGCAACAAAAAAAAGAAAAGTTTCCAGTTTTGGTAAAATGTATAATTTTTTGTTTAACTTTTCCACATTCTTTGATGGTTTCGTTGATTATTTGTGTTTGTTATTTGTACCTAAGCACCACCACCACCTCCCAAATCGCCACCACCATTATTGCTTTTTACCCCTGTAAACACCTAAAACTCATATATACCACATATGTTGGTAGAAAATCTTTTGCTGTTCTTCTCATTTTATATTTAAAATTCTTGTAAAAAAAAAAAAGAAATAGATGTTTTTTCCCAAACTTTTCTTTTGCTGTTCTAAGACTGTCAACTTCATCATGCAAAAAAAAAAAAAAATATTTTTTTAGCACGAGTATATAAAAGTTGATTAACTGAGTGAAAATGGAACAAACTCATCCATTTTTTTCGTTTTATCTTCCTCAGTAAGCGTATTCTTTTTTGTGGACAAAATAATCATTAACTATCTTCGAAGCAAAAGTTGTCGAAGAATCTATTAAATGGAAGAAAGGTAAGAGTAAAATCAAAATAAGGTTTTTCTAATAACTGTACTGTCAGAGAAGGGGGAGTAAGAAATAAGAAAAATTTGTTGTTCGGAGGTCTTTGCTGTTGTTGTTGTTGTTGTTGTTGGTGTTGTTGGTGGTGGTGGTGGTGGTGGTGGTGGTAGTAGTGGTGGATATTTAGACAGGTTAAATTGCCTGTTTTACTTCACCGTCAACAAAGGTATATTAATCATGAGTTTAAGGGGAAAAAAAAGTAATTCTTTTTTTTAAAATGACTTTTACAGTAGAATAATGTAATTTTGTTACG